GAGGTCCTGAGGCCAATATTCCGCCCCCTGATAAACAGCCAGTGACTTGTTGTCACTGCCTCACCTGTGTTGGATGGAGCTGTCTGTGAGCACATTGGCTGCTCTACAGAGGCACCATCCCCGTGTGTGTGTGTGTGGGGGGGAGTGGGGGGGGAGGGTAGGAGGGAGGAAGTGGGGGGCATTGGGGGGGGTAGGAGGGAGGAAGTGGAGGGGATGTGATTCCTGGGACAGGGCCTGTGTCACTGTCCATGTGGGACTGTTTCACGTTCCTTCCCCTGACTGGCACGCACAGGCCCTCAGGCTGGGCACCATGCCCTCCAGACCATCGTTTGGGGGCGAGGGCTCAGGCACTGGGCACCTCCTGGTCACACTACAGAGTGGGAGGTGGGGGTGGTCAGTGCAGGGGAGAAGATGGGTCTACTCACACTCTCTCTCCTAGTCTCTCTCTTTGTCTGTCAGGGTCTGCCTCCTGCTGTCTCCCTGTCTGCCTCTGTCTCTCAGGGGGTCTGTGTCCTGGTCACTCTGTCTCTCTCTGTCGCTCAGTGTCAGTTTCCTGCTGCCTGTCTCTCTCTCTCTCTCTCTCTCTCCCCCCCTGCGCCTCCCACCTCCTCCACTGCCTCCTCTTCTGTGGTCTAACGCTGCCTCCTCTTCTGTAGTCTAACACAGGTAGCCCACAGTCCCAGCGACCTGCTGACCTCTCCGATGATGAGATCTCTGACCTGTTCCAGAGGCTAGCGGACATTCAACAGGAGAAGTGGATGTTGGAGGAACGGGTGAGAGGAAGGGATTACTATCCAGTGAAATAACCCCCGCACTCCCGTACCCTGTATCACTGTCCAGTGAAATAACCCCCGCACTCCCGTACTCTGTATCACTGTCCAGTAAAATAACCCCCGCACTCCCGTACCCTGGATCACTGCCCAGTGATATAACCACCCCCCCAACACTCCCGTACCCTGTATCACTGTCCAGTGATATAACCAACCCCCCAGCTCTCCCGTACCCTGGATCACTGCCCCGTGATATACCTGAGGGAATGAGTGTCACTGAGGTAATGAGTTTCGGTTTTTCTCTCTCTCCCTCCCCCTCTCTTCCTCTCCTCTGTCTCTGTCTGGTTCTCTGCCGCCCGCCTCTCTCTGTTTCTCCCGTGTCTCCCTTTCCCCACTCTGTCTGTCTGTCTGTCTGTCTGTCTCTCTCTCTCTCTCTCTCTCACTCTCTCTCTCTCTCAC